CCACACCCAGCTCATTTTTTTATTCCTTGTAGAGATGAGGTCTTGTCAAGTTGCCCAGGCTGGTCTTGAACCCCTGGGTTCAGGTAATCCTCTTGTCTCTGCCTCCTAAAGTGCTGGGCTTACAGGCATGAGCCACTGCCCGGCTGTCAACACACATTTTATTTATTTTTATTTTTATTTTTTGAGTTGGAGTCTCACTGTGTCGCCCAGGCTGAAGGGCAGTGGCACGCTCCCGGCCACCACAGCCTCGACCTGCTGGGCTCCAGCGATCCTTCAGGCTCAGCCTTCCGAGTAGCTGGAACTATAGGCGCGTGCCCTACCACGCCCGGCTAATATTTGGTTTCTTGTAGAGATGAGGTCTCGCCAAGTTGCCTATTTTTTTGACTTGGAGTCTCTGTCGCCCAGGCTGGAGTGCAGTGGCATACTCACAGCCACCCTAGCATCGACCTGCTGCGTTCCGGCAATCCTTCTGCCTCAGCCTTCCAAGTAGCTGGAACTATAGGAGCATGCTACACGCTCAGGCAGTCCACTTGCCTCAGCCTCCCAAAGTGCTGGGATTACAGGCTGAGCCACTGAGCTCAGCCCCAACACACATTTTAAGCAAATGCTTTCTTTGGGTTCTCCTTAGTTTTTGTTTTGCATGTAGACTTCTGTGGAGAACTAAAAAAAGCATAATGGAGAAAATTGTTTAAATGTATTTGAAATAGACTTCTCTGTATATTCCCTTTCTGTCTAAACTCACAAGGCAAGCACATGTAAGTCTTCTAATCAACAATGAGTAAATGGAAATTAGATAAGACTGTAAGACACTTAAGTAGATAATGGAGATAAAGGGAAGGGAGGAAGTCAGAGGAATCGGGAAGGATGAGATGTCTACCTTGGATGTCTAATGGTGTCATTATAGAAGGGCCCAGATGTTGAGCTTCTATCATATGGTAAGTGCTTTACTTACCTAGTCATTTCTCACAACAGTTTTAAGATGGATATTCTGTTTTGCTGATGAGACACCTAAGGCTCAAACATGTTAGTATTAAGTAACTTGCCTAAGGCTGCATACCTAATTAGGTGCCAGAGCAGAAATTTCATGAAATGACTGTGCCTTTTCTACTGTGCCTCTTTGTCAGTGGCCTAGATAGGCAGCATAGGAATTCTGATTTTTGAGGAGGGTGAAGAAGTAGAAAGAGATGCATAGTTTGGTTTAGGACCTCTTGAAGTTTCTGTGGGATGGGCAGGTAGAAATAATAGAGGCAACAAGTCAGGTATTGTCTCTCAGGAGAACATTCGTTGTAATTTATATCAGGTTTACCTTTTTACTTTTACTGAGGCTTAGTCCAAACCATAAACTTTCTCATTGCATGTTTACATAGTTCTTATATGTAGATGGCATATATTTCAGATTGTCCAATTTGAGATGTTCAGCTGGTAAGTATAACACAAATATTCCAAAACCCAAAAAGTTTCAAAATCTGAAACACTTCTAGTTCTAAGCATTCAGATAAGGGACACTCGTCTGTACTTAAAAGCCAAAAATCCAATGTTATGCTCCATACACAGATTTTACTAAGTATTTAGCAGTTGCCTTGTAATTCTAGGAAGTTTTTAATACAATGAAATGAAAGGTAATCTAATGGGTAGCTTTTAGTGGATAATTTTTTTAGTGACCATTACTTAACACCTATTACGTATCAGAATCTGCTAGATACTAAGGAGTCAGTGCAGAGCAGAAATACAGACAGAATCTTGTTCTCCTGGATCTAGTGGGGAAGATAAACATTCATGTTATAAGTAAATAAAATTACAATTGTGACGTGCTTTGAAGAAAAGTTAACTTGGTATGAGAGCTTGTTCTAGAGAAGAATAGTTAGGGAAGGTGTCTGAAAAAGTAATTGTTGAACTGAGCTCTGAAGGAAGAAAAGGAGGTACAATATTTAATTTGGGCAGAGTGATGAGTGGGGGAAGTACTGGAAAGTCTTCTGGGTAGAAAACAAATTGAGATTTTTGCCAGCTAGTACTTTACACACTAGAGAAGAAGTGGGAGCTTTGACCGGAGAATTAGTAATCAACACAGAAAGAAATGAACAGATTCTATCAATATTTATGTAGAAAATAAATTACAAGTTGGTGAAACATTGAATATGGGATAGGGAGAGGGAGGTGATAAGAATATCTGCCTTGCAGAACTAGGAAGATGGCCATACCATTACTGAGCTAGGGAAGCCAAGAGACCAGATTTTAGAGGGGAATTCATTTTTTTACATGTTGGAGTTTGAGGTGCTCCTAAGACATCAAGTTGGAACTGTCAGATAGAGCTTGGTAGATCTAGACTGGATGTATAAATTTGTGAATTATTTATATCTAGGTGATTTCACCTGTCAACATGGGCCTAGTTATTCGGTGAAGGGTATTGGGCAGGAGAAAAGGCCAGAACAAAGCACTGAGAAACATTCAGTGATTAGATATAAGGAGAATAAGCCTGAGAAGTAGTCTGAAAGGTAAAAGGGTTGTGATAGATGCCTAAGATGTTTTAGGCCAAGACTGTTAAAAGATATAGCTATAGTCATCTAAATGTGATGTCCCCTCACTGAAGGACAAGTTGGGACATTGTGCCTTTGTTAACATTTTGCATGTTCTTGCATAACTGCTTTGTTAACTACATTTAGGAGGTTTGGTGGCAAAACACAAGTCCTAAGGTAGAGAGACCTAGGCTTGAGTCTAAACTCTACTCATTTATTTATCTGAGTCAGCATCTCATTCTGTTGCCTAGGCTAGAGTATAGTAGCACGATCACAGCTCATCACAGCCTCAACCTGTTGGGCTCAGGTGAAAGTAGCTGGGACTACAGGCATGCACCACCATGCCCAGCTAAATTTTTTTGATCTTTTATAGAGATCAAGTCTCGCTATGTTGGCCAGGCTGGTCCAAACAATTAATTGATAAATATATCAAACCATTTAAAAACAAGTATGATAGGAATTAAAGTTTAAAATTAGGTGTTAGGCATGTGTGATAAGAAGGGTGACGCCACATGAGTCTTTAAAATATCAGGAGGGCTTAGTCATTTCCTTCCCTCAATGGTTTTTTGAAAATATGCGTTAGATTGTTAGATTATTTTAAATGTCTAGAAGTTTCCTTTGGTTTAACAAAAAAATACCAAAGGGAGAAATACATCTATAATATGACTTAAAAGATAGCTTTAATTTTTCTCTTTAATGCCTACTAATATTGCTCCATACAGTAGAGCTTTCAAGTTTTCTGTTCTGCTTTCTGTGTTCTTGTACACATAATGTGAACCACAAAGCTGAAGGAATCTAGTTCTGAAAAACACATACTTGGAGTTTATTTGCTCTAAAACAATGTAGTTATTTATTTATTTTTTAGATTTGTTTAAGGACTTAGACCCTTTGTACCTATATCTTAAACCCGTTTGCTCATGTGTATGTCATCTCATCAAAACTGGTCACATAGAATTGGAGCTGAGAGTCAGGAACGTAGTCTAGACTGGACATAGTAATTCAAGGGTTGAAGAACTCAGAGCTGGCAGAGATCACAGTATACACCATAGTCTCTGGGTATTTCGGGAGAAACCAGAAAGTCAGGGCCAAAGCCAGATATGGCAGCACTTAGCTTAAAGTCTGCAAAGAAAGTTATTTGAAGAGAAAACAACAAAGGGTTTGAATAATTTACAAATATTGGCGTTTACTAAGCTCTTAGTTATCTTATATCATCAGTCCTCTAAAGTGGGTGCTGTTATCTCCTTTATTCAAAGATATTAAGAGACTTTGCTTGAGTTGCCACAATAGAGTGGGCACTCAAATCTTATAATTTAATTCTTCAGACTGAAAAATCCCATTTTCTAAGCTAGTAGTGTTTCATTGATTCTGAGCATTTGCAAATGTAACCAGGATTAGTGTGTGATTCCTTTTAGGTCACACTCCATGCCAGCCCCTTTCCCCCAGAGTAGCTCAGCTTTCAATATTGTGATTATATGATTTCGTTGAACTGAATTGTTTTGTGTAGAAAGCTCACTGGATTAGAAGGTAAACAGAGTCCAGGCACAGTGGCTCACACCTGTAGTAATCCTAGCACTTTGAGAGTCGGAGGAGAGAGGATTGCCTGAGCCCAAGGGTTGGAGACCAGCCTGGGAAACTTGGCAAGACCTCACCTCTACAATAAATTTTTTAAAAATTAGCTGGGTGTGGGGGCGCATGCCTGTGGTTTCAGCTACCTGGAAGGCTGAGGTGGAAGGATCACCTGAGCCTGGCAGGTAGCCGTGAGCATGCCACTGCACTCCAGCCTGGGTGACAGAGTGAGACTCTGACTCAAAAAAAAAAAAAAAAAAGCCAGAAAGTGAACAGAATCCTAATTGTAGAATTCATAATTATATGACTATAGGTAAGTTTGGGCTATAAAATGGGAATGCTGGTCTTCATATTCTCTTTTTATATGGTTTTACAAGTTTCTCACAACAGTATCTAATCTTATTAAACAGATAATAAATGGACTTTAAGGTTATTGTCTAGATGGAAAGAAAAAAGGTCTATAATGGCCAGTTCTGGTATACTGAGGCGACAATGCCATTGCAACTGACAGAATGTCAATTTTGCATATTGAGTATATTCCTACTGGTTAATTGCATGGAAGATATATTTATCTGTTCACGTATTAGGAACGAATGTATCTAGGTTGTATGATATGGTCTTCATGTGGAAACACTTCAGTTAACATCCCAAGCCGGTTTTTTAATGAGTCCTGTATTTATATCCTTTAAAAGTAGGTCAGATATCTCAGTGTGAATGTTTTGGTGTGTATTTATGTTTTATTCCAGTAGCTAAAGTTAAGGCAGGGTGAAACACAATCAAACTGCTGCGTACTGGCCCAGCCTCCAACAACTCCCCACAGCTCCCTTTCCCTTCTACCCCTGGCCAAAAAGAAAAGATAACAATCCCCAGCAAGCAAGCTTTAAAAAATAACCTCTTTTCCCCCTGTTTTTTAATACTTAGGAACAAGTTCCAGTTCCAGTCTATCATCCAACACCTAGCCAGACTCGGCTAGCAACTCAGCTGACTGAAGAAGAACAAATTAGGATAGCTCAAAGAATAGGCCTTATCCAGCATCTGCCTAAAGGAGTTTATGACCCTGGAAGAGATGGATCAGAAAAAAAGATCCGAGAGTAAGTTTTAATAAGTTTATATGTTTTGACGTTCTAGTTTTAGAGATCTGCTTTTGGAGAATTACTAATTTTTTCCCCCTTTCCCCTTCCCATCTCAGTGTGAGAAAAATTTGCTTTTTCTCTTGCACTTTAGACGTCAGACATGTTATATATTAGAGCACCTCAGCTAATGAAAAAGAATGTTTAAATATAACAGTTAAGAAGAATTTTCGTGTAAAAATTCTCCATCCAATAAATAATGGTGTAAATTCTGACCAATATGAACTAGCACCAACATTTCTGGTGGCCATGTCAACTGGATTTTGGAAAGCAGTTTGACAATATTTCAAGGATATACCCTTTGAGACAGTTCTAAACTCCTTGTGATAGTAGTCCTAAGGATATATTCCAAAACATGTATCTCACCCCCACTGCTAGAGCTTTTTGCACGAAGTATTTGCAATCTTATTTGGTGAAAATGCAAGCTGCATAATTGTCCAACAGTCAAGGTATACTTTAGTAAACCATGATACAGGAATACTTCGGTAGATAATGCTGCTAGACTTCTGAAATGCTGTGGGTTGCTTCTTGGACCAGTAGAAGGGTGCAATGAACTCAAAACCAAGGTTAATAAAGAGAGCTTTACTTTACAGCAGTCCAATTTCACCTAGCTGAAATTAGTACTGTTTTTACAGTTAGTTATTAAAATGAAAACGACCTTACTTCAGCATTACACTAAAAATTCAGTATGATGAAGCCGGGCTCGGTGGCTCAGCCTGTAATCCCGCACCTTTGGGAGGCTGAGGTGAGTGGATTGCCTGAGCCCGTGGGTTCGAGATCCGCCTGGGCAGCGAGACCTCATCTCTACAATAAATTAAAAAATCAGCCGGGCATGGTAGCACATGCCTATAATTCCGGCTACTCAGAAGGCTGAGGCGGAAAGATCGCCGGAGCCCAGCAGGTCGAGGCTGCGGTGGCCGGGAGCGGCCACTGCACTCCAGTCTGGGTGACAGAGTGAGACTCCAACTCAAAAAAAAAAAAATTCAGTATGATGAAACAAAGTTGGTCTACCTGGTGTTTTCCTACCTAAAGCATCACATTCCCCTTAAGGTATCTCCTGTAATGTGTAACTGTTTTATAAGCACAGCAATGAACTTTATCCTTATGTGGTCTATTTCTCTTTGCTCTGATTGTTCCTAATCCCTATAAGTTCTCAGGGCATTGAAATAAGAGAATATGGATGCATCAAACTAGGAAAAAAATTAATTTGCATATTTTGATTATGAGATGAAAGGTAAACCATTCTCATGTGTTGCTCAGATTAATGCTGTTTTTGTAATAAAATTTTAAGAGTTTTCTGAATTGTCACTTCTCTAAAAATGTCTTCTGATTTGTCTCTCTCTCTCCCCCAACAGATGTGTGATCTGTATGATGGACTTTGTTTATGGGGACCCAATTCGATTTCTGCCGTGCATGCACATCTATCACCTGGACTGTATAGATGACTGGTTGATGAGATCCTTCACGTGCCCCTCCTGCATGGAGCCAGTTGATGCAGCACTGCTTTCATCCTATGAGACTAATTGAGCCAGGGTCTCTCGTCTGACTTCAAGTGAACCATCATTTTTGGTGGTTTTGATCTTTTGTCACTGAGCCCAAAGAGCCAGGGATTAGGAATTAAGATCCTGCACAAAAGTTTCCTAAAAATTCCTGGATGGCTGCAGATGTTGGGGGAAAGTACGTGATATTTTAGAAACTTAGGGGGAAAAGTAGGATGGTATTTTTGTGTAAAGCCTTGACCCAGTGTTTAAAAATATAATTGTATTTAGATCTTGTTATTGTTCCAGTACATAGGAATTGTGTAAAGTGTTACAGCAGCTGTATATGTTTAAATTGTGTGTGTTGAAGATTAGGAAAAAGATAGTGGTTATTTTTCCTAAATGAAATAACATTCTTCTCCCTCTACCCCCCACCCAAATTCTTTTCTGAAGTTGCTGGCATTTGGGTCAAGGTTTTATTAAAAGCTACATTTTGTAACACTGGCACAAAAAAAGTAGTTTTAAGCTTGTTTGCACAGTTATTTTTTTCCATTGGAAATGGAATTCATTGCCTTAGGTCTTTTTAAATAGTGTATTATTATCGTTGGGGCTGGCTCTATGCTTGAAAACCAGTTTATTTATAACCTGTTATAAGTGCTATATTCTGTTTGCAGTTAGGAAATGCAGAATTCAAAGTGATCTCCTAGCTTGTAAGCAAACTGAGATGCACTATCCCTTTTCTATAAAAAGATTAATTAATGTGTCAAGAAACCAACTCTAGTGAAGTGAGGTTTAATATTACCCTCTCCTATGTGTTTTATCTAATTATTTTGGTTGTTAATATGGTGATAATTGAAGGTCCAGGTAAATTTTAAATGTTAAGAATTCTGATTTATTGAACTTGAGTTATGCCACCATGTTTATGTAACAATGGAAGTGACATCATGGTGAAATTTAACAAGAAGGAATTTCTCCGTTGTAGTAACTTTGGTTTATTCTTTCCTGTGACCTCCTTCCTTCTTGTCTTGAACCATAGCAAAAGGATACTGCATCTCTCGTTACTGTAGTGCTGAGGTTATTGAAGTTATATAAAACACGTCTCAGTCTCTGTTTCTTGGAAAGGTATCTGTTAAGTCCTGCTAGCTGACTGACAAGACTAAGCAGGGAGAATAAAGAAATGTGTTTCATATTTTGCACACAAATGCAGGATTTATATAACCACATGACTTCCTAGTTGTGATCTCAAAAAAGAAGGAATTACTCCTTTTCTCTTGCAATTAATGTAAGAATACTTTAAATCTCCAAGCTTCTGAAGTGTTAGAGGTAGAGATGGTCTAGTAAAGATGTAGTGGTCATGTTTTATCCAGTTAGCATGTGTTTATTTTTTTATATACTCAGAGGTGACTTATTTGTTTCACTCAGTGATATTAGAGCTGAAAATCATTCATTAAGCAGAAGGAGAAGCTGTCTCAACCTAACAAATCAGAAGTGTTTCTTCTTCTTATTTTATATTGAGTTGAATATTTGACTCTTAACACTTTTCTACGTACAAAACACAAGTATTGCAAAGGTTCTTCATAATTGCATTGTAGAGGAACTTAGTATGTCATAAGTACTTTGTAAAGATTTGACATTCAACTGTAGTATCCGTATGTTGCTTAATTTCCTTATGAGTCCCATGGTAGAAAGATTTAAGGATGAAATTGAGAAAAATGGAAAGAAACTAGATGATTAGGTTGTGTAAAATTGTTACATGTATCTTGCTTAAACTTCTGTTCATTAATTTATATCCACCCAATTACATAAAGCAAATTTTGAGGAAACAACTGAAGTTGTGCAATATTTTCAGTGATAATTGCTTTTTTATTCTTGTGTTTTCTACTTAAACATAATGTCTATGTCATCAGTTCTAGTCAGACTTTTTTTTCTAGATTGTCAAAATTGGTAAATGAACTTTTTATATCGTCTTCCATGTTGCAGTTAGTCTTTCTTTATGACAAGGCTTCTTTCACAGAAGTTTGATATTGAAGGAAGCAGCATTGACAGAAAGCTTTGCTTTTAGGCACTTTGTATTCTTTAACATTGTTCTTTACATACTATGTTAAGAACCACCAATTTTGGGTTTTACTGAGTTGTTAAATAAAGTTATGATACAGCTGTGAAGGGCTAAAGTTAGTTAATTTTTATAAGAATATTCTTTAAGATACCTAATCCTTTAAAATAATTGTATAATAATTACTTATTTTAAAATTAATTTTAAATCTCTAGGTATATATACTTTTGAAAAGTATTTTTTTATTGCTTGACTTTTAATATCACCCAGTCATATACTTAGAGGCTTGCTAGCTTCAAAGTTTCTAAAGCCACATAATCAGCATAAACTATTTATTTAGATATGGGCAAGATGTGTTCAAGCTTGGCTGTGAGATTTGAAATGTCTGAAAAGCCTGACCAGGAAGAAATAAAATAATCTTATTCTTTTGAATATAAGACCCATCAAGTTGAAGTACATTCTGATACTTATATTTTAGTTCACACAAACTATTTTTAATTCTGTGTCTTTTATAGGAAATCTCTTAAACCTATTGTAGAATAATTGTCCTCTAATGTTGGAGTCTACCCCATGATAGAAAACAAGATGTTTCTGTAGAATAGTAAGCATTGAGGTCACAGATTCTCTATATACAAAGTTCCTTCATAAGGAAGCAAGGTTTTTGTTTTTTGTTTTTGAGTCAGAGTTTCACTCTCACCCAGGCACACGCTCATGGCCATTGCAGCCTTGACCTGCTGGTCTCCGGAGATCCTTCCGCCTCAGCCTTCCTAGTAGTTGGAACTGCAGGCATGCGCCACCACACCCAGCTAATTTTTTGATTTATTGTAGAGATGAGGTCTCACCAGGTTGCCCAGACTGGTCTCGAACTTGTGGGCTCAGGCATTCCTCTCAACTCAGCCTCCCAAAGTGTTGGGATTATAGGTGTGAGCCACCATGCCCGGCCAGGAAGCAAGCATTTTTTAAAAGGGGTAACACCTAATAAAGTACAGTAATCCTCCTTTACCTGCAGTTTTGCTCTCCATGTTTTCAGTTACCTGCATGGTACAGGTCGGTACAAGAGGATATTTTCAGTGAGCAAGAGAGCGCATTCACATAGCTTCCATTGCAGTATAGTGTCATTTGTATAAATATTTGCCAGTACTGTTTTACTAATATTGTTGTTAATTTCTTACTGTGTCTATAAGTCAAACTTTGTCATAGTTATGTGTACATAGGAAAAAACTATATATAGGGTTCTGTACTATCTGTGATTTCAGACATGCACTGAGGGTCTTGGAAAGTATACTCCAGGGATAAAGGGGCATGGAACTCCTGTGGTCAAAAGCAGAGTGCTGGGGGTCTTGAGACTGCAAGTGTAAACAGGAGAGAAGGTTGAGTTTCTTTAGCATAAGTCAGAAATATAGACTGTTTGCCTGCCTCTGTTTACAAAAGCAACGGGTAGCAATCATTTCTCGGAGTCAGTCAACTACACTTGCATTTACAAAATGCATCTGAGTTGATGTAATAACCTCAACTAATTTTTTTAAGCCTTAGCTTTTGAAATTAGTGGACATGAGAAAAGTTAGATTTTTGGTTAGTGTGTCCTGAAGTAATAAACCGTGTTGTGATTGGTCTTTCATTTATTTGCCTAAATTTAATAGTTATCTACTGTTTTACTGAATGGGGAGAGAGTTTATAACCCTTCTTGCACTTTCCTTCGTGAAACTCTCCTGCTTCAGACTCAACTAGACCTCCCCAAGACACATAGGTGCCAGTTTTATGTTTAAAGTACTTTTACCCTTTAGAGTTGGTACTGTTTTGTGGCTGGGCACAGTGGCTCACACCTGGAATCCCAGCACTTTGGGAGCCCAGGGTAGGAGGATTACTTGAGCCCAGGAGTTTGAGGCCAGTCTGGGCAATACAGTGAGACCTCATCACTGTTAACTATTGGAATGTGACCTGTTATCAGGCTGAAAATGGAGAAAGAAACAGTCCTGGATTCAGGATACCTCTGGTATGGCTGGCATGGGTCTGAGAGTCATCAGCCCTTCCTCAGCAATGGTCTTCAGCAGGCTGCATTATCGATTAATCATTTGGGAGGCTTAACTGAACTCCCGAATTTTCCCTCTTGGCCCCAGTTTCTAAATATTTTGCCTTTGAAGTTGTGTTTCCATCAACTTCTTGCCCCTTTTAGACACAAGAGGCAGTTTGACTATCTTGCTCCCTTCAGGAATGAATCAGTATTATAAGGCTAGCCTGCCTTTTAAAAGATCGGAACTGCCTGTTTATCTCTTGAAGAGGTAAATAAAACTTAAGAGTTGAATAAATGCTTGTTAAATATAGCACAGAGTCAAAATGTCCTACCTATAAATTTTTCATTATTGCATCACTGCTTGACCTGCTTTAATTATTTTTTTTTTTGAAGTGCAGTGACATGCTCACAGCCACTGCAGCCTCGACCTGCTGGGCCTAGGTGATCCTTCCGCCTCAGCCTTCCAAGTTGACCTGCTTTTAAGGTGTGGTTTTCCTGGGCAGTATCAAAAAGTCTCTGGAGGAAGTTTTTTCTCAGTTCTGTATATGTCAAAAGTCTGAAGTGAAAGAAGCGCAGAGGAAAGCGCACTGAAGTAGAAGTCCAAGCATGAGTTCTCTCTAATCCCAAGCCAGTTGTTTGGGTGATTCCAGGCAAGTCATTTAAGCCACATCCTCTTAGGCCAGGACAACCAGAGCACAACTGCTGAGTGCTCTGGTTAGTGAAGACCCCTGTGGCATCAGAGTGGGAGAGAAGAACCAGATCTATATTTTTAAATAGGCTTTCCAAACTGATTCTGACTCACCAGCGAGTTTCAGAACCATTGGTAGATGACCCCTTCCCAGGTTAATGTGAAATGACGGTTGGTACATTTTTTGTTTCCTAAAAAAATTGCCTAAGTATCAGGTTGAAAATAATAGCAGTATGGATCACTTGTTGATTATTCAGAGATCGATTGCCCAGGCAAGATTATCCAGACAGTTTGCTTTTCCATTTGTCCTTCAGCTATTTCCTAGAGCTTTTGCATGGACACAGAAAACCCAAATGAGTCCCTTTGCAGCCAATCCAGAAAATTTTCATTAGGGGCACCAGTGAAATTTTACAAGAGGGGTTTGGGATTGATCGACACAGTTTAATAATTGTCCACATTGATCTTGTTTGCTTATCACACTGAACAGAAGGTGCTGGCTCAGGACAACAGCTGAACGCATCTGACTAATGTTAGTAATGGACTGAAACCATTTATCGTGTCTTCACAAAAATTTTTTAAAGTAACTGGGAGACTATCTTTGCTTTTCTGTTTCTTGAGAAAAATTACTGTTCACTGGTGGATTTAGTCATCTTTGGATGATTTCCGTAGAGAATTTGTTTTGGTTTTGGATGAAAGAGCATTAGCAATAAGGTACACATTTTAGGCATCTGAAACTGATTGTGGTGGAAGGCAGACCATCACCTATTTGCTTTGAACCCTTTCTGTAACAGTGGCTCCAGATTTCTTGGCACTGAGAAAAAGGAGTTGACAAAGATAACTAAGGGCCTTCCCTAAGAGTCTGGGCATGGTAGTGGATACTCTGAATGCCTGTAAGAAGATGCAAAGAAAAAGTTCAACTTCTCTCCGGGGGCCACCATACTAGCTAGTCTGGTCAGTTAAGACCCAAAAGTAAGTTGTAGGCATTCTGTGAACTGGGAAGACTGGACTGTGCCACCAGAAAGACATTGAGATTGGCTATATTCTGCCAATTCCAGAGTTAGAGCCAGTCCTTCAGCTTTGAAACAGTGCTTAATAATGATCCTCTGTCCACAAGCAAACCAGTTAATAGCCACAGTCTTACCATGTACAGTGTGTGGGGAAGGGAAGTTGTTTTTCACAAGCCCTTTGGTCCTCTAACGCGCAATCACTATCTATAGTGTTATCTTGGCATGAGGAAGAGTAATTACAAACATTCTTTCTGGTTGTGAGACAAGTGCTACGCTAGTGAGACATTTCCAAAGGGCCATTAAATAATGTAAGTCCCGCTCTCAGGACTCTTAAACTTTTGAGTTAATGGCTTTGAAGATATCTTTGAAGTAAGAAACTCCCTGTTCCTAGTTATGGATTTTGTTACATGGGTTTCTGATTTGTAAGGAGCAATGCCAATTTACATTGAGTCTTAGTGCCTGATTGTAACTGAGCATGTTGGAAGCATTCTCTAGACCGGGCATGGCAACTCACTTGTAATCTCAACACACTGGGAGGCTTAGGCAGGAGGATTTGTTGAGCTCAGGAGTTCGAGACTAGCCTAGGCACAGCAAGACTCTGTCTCTACAAGAAAAAAAAAAAGTAGCCAGGTGTGTGGTACATGCCTGTAGATCCAGCTACTCGGGAGGCTGAGGAGGGAGGATTGCCTGAGCCCAGGAGGTCAGGACTGCAGTGAAGTGTGATCATACCACTGCACTCCAACCTGGGCGACATATTGAGACCCCAACTCAAAAATAGCAAAAAGCATCCTCTTTTCCCCCTAGGCTTATTAGTAACTTGTGACAGGAAGATGCAGTATTTTCATTGGCCATTCAGACAGACCAGAAGCAGTGGGTGCTGGAAGTGAGCCTCCGCATTTTTTTTTTTTTTTTTTTTTTTGAGTTGGAGTCTCACTCTCACCCAGACTGTAGTGCAGTGGCCGCTCCCGGCCACCGCAGCCTTGACCCACTGGGCTCCAGCGATCCTTCCCCCTCAGCCTTCCAAGTAGCTGAAACTACAGGTGTGCGCTACCACACCCGGCTAATTTTTTATTTATTGTAGAGATGAGGTCTCGCCAAGTTGCCCAGGCGGGTCTCGAAACCGCGGGCTCAGGCAATCCACTCACCTCAGCCTCCCAAAGGCGCGAGATTACAGGCTGAGCCACCAAGCCCAACTGAACCTTTGTATTTAACCCTATATAATCTATCCTTCACACAGCAGCTAAAATAACTTTAAATGAATAAATTAGATGATGTTATTTCTCTACTTAAAACTTGAATAGCTTTCCATGGTGCTGAGAAAAGCCCAAACTCCTTAACAGAATTGACTTGGCTTTCTGCCTCTTGGTTTCCTACTACCATCTAGCCTGCCTCTGTACCTTCTTA